AATCATCATTTTCATTTTGTCAATCCTCAAGCCACTTTCCAAGTTTGTCCTTTAATACAAAATTTGCCCTCTCTACAAAACCTTGGGTTTGCGGCCTTCTCGGCTTTCTATAGATTATTTTAAGATTTGGTCAGAGTTTTGAGAGATTGTTAATAATATCTGCAGTGAACTTACGCCCATTATCACTTTGAAGAAAGATCAGCAGTCCAAATACAGTAAAGATATCAAACAAGAACACAGCCACCTTTGCTGCACATTTATCAGTAAGAATGCGGCTCTAGGAAAAATGTAAGAAATGATCTCTGGCATGTGCTATCCATTTAAATTCACCATCTCTTCTAGTTCATATATCTATAAGATCAATCTAGTAAAAAAAAAAAAAAAGTTATTTATTAATTTTTTTTTTAATTAAAAAAAAAAATAATTCTTTTTTTTTAAAAAAAAATCATCTTATACCTGAAGCCATTGCATAAAAAACTTGCTAATAATAGGCCTTATAGCTAAAGGTTTGCTAGATAATCTGCGTGTTTTACATATTTTACACATTTATCAACCAAGCATCTTTTTATACCATAATATTTATCTGATACTTGTTTATAAGTAGCTCTTGCGCCTCCATGTCCAACAGCCAGATGCTTCTCTGTGATAATATAGTATAATCTCTCTTTTAAAGCTACAGGTTTCCAATTATTTGATGATTTCTCTTTATGCATTAATGTTACAATTCTACCGATCTTTTGAGATGAATAGTTATTTTTAACATGGTAATGTATATTAGGATTTGAAATAGAAGTATTTTTAGGGTTATTTAAAATTTGCAAATATTCATTAGCAATATCCTCTGTAATTAATGCTTTTAATCTTTTTTTTCGCTTAATGATAGTAAGTATTCATCTGTAATTTCATTAAATGTTTGGTATGATAAAAAAGTATATTCATTAAGTGAATCTATCAGAAAAAAAAAATTTTAAAAAAAATTTTTTTTATAGTTAATTTTTAAACTCCGACTATCATGCTATTATGTAAAATTTTCTTTATAATAAATATGTATTAATAATATAATTTTATAAAGTTAATTTTATAGTAAAGTTAACTTTATAATAATTAATTTTATAGTAAACTTTATAATAAATTAGTAGTACTTAAAAGCTTTTAAAAATTTCTTATAAAATTGTTTTATACTAAACTTTATAATAAAATTTTTTAAAAAAATTTATTATACATAGTAGATTTGTTATATAGTATTAAAAAATTTAAAACTAATTGTTAATTGATTATTACTTATTACTTTTTAAAAATGTAAATATGATCAGCAATTTGCATATGGGGCAAGATTGATAGCCCAAAATTAAATTGTTATCTGGGCTACCCCAATTGACAATTAGGCCAATTGTCATTTGAGGTACAACATATATAAAATACTCTATATATAAAATTTGTGACAAATCGGTTAACTAATATATAAAATTTGATATTAAAAACTTTTGCTTAGAAGCCAGAGCATAGTTTTTATAATAAAATCTTGAGTTATTTGAGTTTTTTGGTTTTTTTCTTTTCTTCACTTTGTTTTGGTTATACAAGATCTAGTGATCTGATTGGTTTTTATACTACTAGGTGATATCATCTAGGATGAAAGTTAGCAATAGTCTTTTATAAATTATTCTAATTTAATTTATATACTAAACAAGTTTATTTAGAGTATCAAGATACTATATATTAGTAAAATCTTGAAATATAATAACTTTTCTATAATTTTATTAATAAAATAAACAAATACAAAGGTGTGGTAACTTAGTAAAGTAGTTAAAGTTGTTGCACCCCCAAGTAGCATATTGGATAGATAGGGGGTTCGAAACCCACTAGCGACAATTTCAAAAAAATCTACTTGTATAACGCTACTATCTTCTGTCAATTGGTTGGAATGAGATTTTTGTAACTTTGATGATACTAACAAGATTGGAAGATCATGAGGCATTTGTGCAATGTATAAGTTACACAAAAAAGTTCTCAGATCGTAGTAAATCTAAGAAACTAAGAAGATTGGATGCATGCTTGGCAAGACCTGAGTAGAGAGATAGCACAGATCTTTGATAGTACTATGTAAAGGATTATAGTTAGAAAAGTGGATTAACTGAACAAAGGATTGTGAATAGACAATAGACAAACCAATAGACTCAATAAACAGTCCAATGGTCCAATGATATCTAATTAAATTATTAGATAATAGACAAATTACTATATAATTTAAACAATCTGATTGGTTAATTTTAGATATTATTATCTTGCTAATATATAAAAAAAATTAGTTTAAAACTAATAGACATTAGACTCATTCGATTAATAGAATTTTAATAGACTATTAGACAATTAGATAATAATTTTTTTGATTAGACTATATCTATTCACAACCCTGCTGAATAGGACCAAAGTGTTTGACAAAACACTCCACCAACTAGACCGCTAGAAGAGTAACCAGAAGAAAAGAACCTAAATATGGGGACTAGGAGCAGGTTATAGTTCTTTTGGGCTATCTGAATTAGTAGTTTAGAAAAATTCAGAAAGTACAATATAGTCTGTAAAGTAGGTACTGGGGTCTAAGTAAACTCTACAAAGGCAGAAGTAGGTAAAAGTAGCGGCTTCAGCTTGCAAGTACTTGTTCTTAGACTCAGTGTAAGTTACTGAAGTCTAGGTTAGCTGGATTGTGAGTATGCAAAGCTCTAGCAGGTTTATCTCAAGAACAAAAGGCTTCCAATAGTAGTAGCCTATTTTAAAGTCCTAAGCTGGGTGTCTGAAAATAAGGGTTCAAACTGGATTCTCGCTTAGTTAAAATAGGTTAACTTCATAGGTACAGAAGATTTAAATAGATAACCCTAGTCAGGTTGCAGGTATAATATCTAGTATAGAACTTAGTAATAAGCAGACTACTTAAATAGGCAATCAAAGTTGTACATGTAGCTAGTATATACTTTTCAAATATATATAAAGTATAGGCTATCCTAAAAGGGTGGCTTATCGTACAGTAAGGTTAACTAATAACTAAAAAAAAGAGACGGCCAAGAGGTCACCTTAACATTGAAAAAAAAATAAAATAAACAAAAATACTAGATTATTTAAAATTTTACTAATAAATAGTATCTTAATACTTTAAGCAAACTTGTTAAACATATAAAAATATGTTAAAATAGTATTTAATTTATTATATTTGTAAATTATTTTAAATAATAATCTTAAATTTATATTTTTAATAAAATTTTATTATATTTATAGATTAGAAATTACTAAATTTACATGAGGTGTTTAAAACATAGATACAATTTATAATTAATTTTATTAAAAATACAAGTAAGCAATAATAATTTTAATTGATATTAGAGTTAAAATTAGAGGTTAGAGTTAGTAAAAAACATAGTTTATAGTAAAATTTTACAAGAAAATTTTTTTCTTAGAGCCCAAATGATAGTTTTATAATTTTTTTTTTGGTTTTAAGGTAAGGCCTTGCTCGTATCTTTATTAGTAATAATTTTAATAGTAATAATATAAATTAATAAAATGCAGTTACTGAAGCTTTCACTTGTAGTCAGTACTAGACATTAAACCACTATATTAAAAATTTACAATGCTACTACTATTTGTACTAGTACAAATAAAAATAACAATTATATACAAGAATAAAAGCTTAGACAGGGAAAATTTATCTGCGATCTAAACCTACTAGAGTGGTCAAAGACTTATCTAGGTTACTATAGTTAAGATGTGATTTAAGAAAATACTATACTTGGCCCAAAAATATAACCAAGTATTAATTTTTTTCCTGGTTTGACCAACTAGTAGGCAGACTCCTATATGTGAATGTAGTTGATTTGGCGATTTATATAGACAAGAGTATATATATATTTTATATGTATGATTAGTATTTTTAGAGTAAGAGTTTGAACTTGGGTCTTCCAGATTTGAGTTGTTGATATGTTAAGTAAAGTTGGATCTGATATATGGATAGAATAAGTATTGTTGTTTTTTTCAGTTAGCAAAGTTTGTGCAGTATAGTTTCTATAGTAGTTCATATATTTGCTTGTTAATCTTAAGTAATAAGTTTTTTTTTTTTTTTTTTTTTTTTAGTTATTAAGGCCGATGTTACAGAGCTATTGCCTTTATTTGTGTTTTTAGTTAATGTATTACATATAACTTGTACAAGGTGAGTGTACAACCAGCCACATGTGCAACTTTTGGTTGCCTAATTTAAGTAGTCTGCCTGAAGGTTCTATACTAGCTGCTATATCTGTAATCTGCTAGGAGATTACTTATTTAAACACTCTGATCCTAATACTACACTAGGCAAGTAAACCCCTGGTTCCTGTACACCTAAGTGCCATCTAACCCAACATTTTGCCTCCCTTCTTCTACATCTGT